CCTTATTAGCTTTAGCACCCACAGACGCTTCGTTTTCTTCTTTTCTGTTGAGACAGGGTCTTGCAACTTGGGCTCAAGTGATCGTCCTGCTTGGACTCCCAAGTGCTGGAACTACAGCAGTGCGTCACTATACACAGCTCAATGAGGTGGATATCTGAGTGTATTCCATGGCTGTTGCTGTTTCTGAGATGAGGTCTCGCTGTGTTCCCCAGGCTGGTTTCAAATTCTGAGGCTCATGTGATCTCCCCACCTCAGTCTCCTGAGCTCTGGGATTACCAGTGTGTGCCATCACACCTCACTTCACTGATAAATTTTTCCCCTTGTGGTGCTCAACTAAGGTGTTTGAGCATGCTAGGGAAGTGCTCAACCACGGAGCTACAGCTCCGCACAGCTGGTAACTCTTCACTGGAACAGTGACGACGATGGTGGTGGTCCAACGTGGCCTCTAACTGCTCGCCACTTCTTCATGCTGCCTAGCACTCGCCTCACCTGGCACGCTCTCCCACCGCTAAAGCATTTCCTTGCTCTCTGACCTAGCAGGATGCTCCAAGCTCACCTGTAACTTTTCTATCCCGTTCTCCAAGAAGACTTGGTTCTACTGAGTGGAAGAAGGCAGTAGTTTCCAGAACTGCTAACCCACAAACTCTGGAAAGCAAAGTACAGTTCAATATTTAGAGTTCCTTCTTTCATCAAAAGGTACGCAGTGAAAACACTGGGTCCAAGAGCTAGTCAGGTTACTTCCTTTTGTTGTACTGAGGTACAATGTTGCCATGTGAAGTAAGCACTTAATACACATTTACCTAAAATCACAAAAGAGTAAACAAATGAGTAAACTTTTTTCATCCTGAGGCTTTGCTTCAGTATATAGGTTACCCTTCTCTTATGTTCGTGGTTTCCCCTAATAACTTGAATGATCTATCAAAAACCTGAAAGTTTTAGAAAAAAATAAGATGCAGCTGAGTGTGAAGGTGCATGCCTGTAAGCCCAGCACTCATAGGCTGAGGCAGGAGGATGGAAACTCCAAAGACTGTGGGCTACAAAGCAATATGCTGGAAGAGAAGAGAAGAGAGAAAAGGAAGAAGCAAAGGAAGGAGGGAGGGAAAAGAAAAAAGGATGCAGGTAACTTCTTGTTATTTTGATTCAATTAATGAGCTAGAATCTGGGAATCTGCTGTGTAAACAACTTCTGAGTGGTTCTAGCATCTCATCCAGTGAGAGGCCACTGCCAGTTCCCATTAAGCACTGCCCTACACCTTTACCTGCAGCATTCTTGCTCCTCACCACCACTGAGCAAGCATGGCTGGCTAGGGGCCAGTGGCTCATGCCTGTAACCCTACCCTACTTGGGAGGCTGAGATCAGGAAGATTGAGGTGTGAGACCACTTCAGACAAATAGTTCATGAGCCCCCCCCAATCTCCAAAATAACCAGAATAAAATGGTAAAACATCTGCTTTGCAAGCACGAAGACCTGAGTTCAACCACAGTCCCGCTAAAAAACTAAACCAAAGACTGTCATGGGCATCCAGAGATGGCTGGACTCAGCTCCCTGAGCTCCGGAAACAGCATGCTTTGATCACTATGGAGTAATTCCGAGCTGCTGACAAGAGAACAGAACCACTCCAGAGCTCTGTCCCTAGCCTCCTGGATGGCTGTCCTCACAGGTGTACAGTTATTTGTGTCTGTCGTTTTCACTGGGAAGAAGACTTGCTCTTCCTCCTCTGAAGATACCCGCCCTGGAGTCTGGCAAACAGCAGGTGCTCATAAATGTTTGGTCGATCACTTCCAGATTCAATCCCTTGGCTCACGGACACCACCTTTCCAGAACTCACGCGAAGAGAGGCTGAGGACGTCAAGACTGCCGAGGGGTGTCCCTCCGTAAGTCCCTCATTTGACCTGACGTCTGGCTCTTCCTGTGCCCCTGCATGTTTTTGTTCACCATGGTAAGAGTACAGTTTCCACACAGACCCGCTATTTTTAGTACCCCTGTTATGATGAACTCACAGTAACCTCAAAAAGGACAAATCAAAGTCAACTTTGCCACAGGAAGCCGGCTCATGCTTCATGTTTTGCAACATACCACGGGAGAATAACAAGACAAGACCTTTCTGCTCAGATGGCCAAGCAGCTTTTGAGACAGTGGGAAAATGCAGCAGGAAGCGTTCAGTCTCGCCACTATCCTAGTAAGTAAACTGGAAAAACACTCAACACCCAAGCGTGTGCACACACACGCACACACACACGCACGCCACTGCTTTACGGAGGCTCCATTATGAATGGGCAGCAGAAACACCTACCTAGTGGCAGGAAGATGGCTCTGCGAGGACACCATCAGGCAGGCAGCAAACCAGCAGACAAGCAAAACCAGCCACAGACACAAAAATATTCACTCACTGAGCGCCACTATGTGCTCCACTACCCAGTGGAAACAAAATCAGAGCCACACAATCCATGGTAATGAGGAATGGCCGGGTGACAACAGGCCATCACTAAGACCTCAGCAGTCACATTTCTAGCGAGGTTCTCGGAATTCATGCCAAGGACTAGGAGATCTGCCTTTCAAGGTGAGCTGGCTACACACGATGGTATAGTATGCAGCCGGTAAGATGGGCAGACCCCTCCCTCCCACGGCCCCAGGCTTTCCATAGTTTAAGAAGTGTGAGCATGCTCATGCAAGCATGTGCACACGGGGCAGCTTAGGTCTAAACCCTCAACTTTAGCTTTCACTGCACTACCTCAGGACATGCTGGGCATTGACATGGATTAAATCATTTCGAGCCAGATAACACTCTATCATGGGGGCTACCAAGTGCCCTGTGGGATCTTTAGCTACGCCCCTGGCCTCTATCCACTAGATGCCAGGAATGTGTCACTACCCAGCTGTAACAGCCAAGAATGCCTCCAGACACTGCCAGATGGTCCCAATAGAGACTTACTGGATCAGGTAGCTCCTTTCGTGAGCAGCAGTTAGAGGGGCTCATGTTACACCTGGAACCTTTAGATTCCTGGCTCCTGTTTCCTGAAGGTCTCAGTGTGCAGGGCTCCTCCCATGCTCTCCATCCTGGCCGGGGAAGCCACTGCTCCTGCTCCAGCGAGCACATCCTCCACGAGTCCCACATGCCAGAGGGGCGCCTGCTAACGGCTGCCCACACATGTGCCCAACACGCATTCCCGCTGAACCATTTCACCCCCACAGGAACGGACATTTCAATAGTCCACCCCCAACCTCCCCCGTCAGTCTTCTTAAGACCGTTAGTTAGCATGGGACATGTTTTATTCACAGATAAGGGTAAAGGTGATGTCTAGCATTATCTTCTTACGAGTTATGTGGGACGTTTTATGTACTTTATTTATTTATTTTTTGGTGGCGTAGGGTTTGAACTCAGGGCCTCATGTTTACTAGATAGGTGCTCTACCACTGAAGCCACTCCACCAGCCCTTCTGCACACTTTCTAAACAAAAGCTCTGCTGCACCTCTCTGAGAAAGAGCTGTGGACATGAAGGTACCAAACCTTCCATCCCTGGAGCGCACAGATCCAGTGCCCACAACAGATGGCTGAAGGACTCCAGTATCCTCTGCAAATATTGTATTATGTACTGTGACGGTCAGAAAACGTGGGGCATATACCAACCATGGAAAAGATTAGGCGATACTTTTTCTTCTTTGTGCTTTTCTGTTATTTTATACAATAAATACATGGCCATTTTATTTCATTTTATTTTTGCAGCACTCAGAGCCTCGTGCTTGCTAGATGAGCTCTCTTCCACTTAAGCCATGCTTTTAGCCCTTTGACATTTTAGATTATTTTTAAATAGGCTTTCACTTTTTTTGGGGGGTAGGTCTGGGGTCATCCTAGCTCGCAATCCCCCTACCCACACCTCCCTGTAGTTGACAGTACAGACATGTGCCACTCACCCAGCTTAGTTGTCAGATGGGACCTCGCATACACTTTTTTTTGCCAGGGATGGCCGTAAATCACAACACTCCCAAACTGTAGCTCCTGTGTGGCTGGCCTTACAGGGGTAAGCCACCATGCCCAGCTTTTGTTTGTGTGTGTGTGTGTGTGTGTGTGTGTGCTGGGGACTGAACTCAGGCCCTTGCACTTGGCAGGCAAGCACTATACTACTGAGCTCAATCTTCAACTGCAATACAAGTTATTTTTACACCTAATTGCAATGTAGTCTTAAGAACACGAGTAACATTCATCTTTGTGCCTCAGTTTTCTTGTTTCTAAAATTGTGCTAAATATCAGTCTTTTAAATTATTACTAACTTGTTTCTCTTTTTAGCTGGACAGGGGTTTGAACTCAGGGCTTCCCGCTAGCAAAGGAGGTGCTCTACCTCTTGAGCCATACCTCCAGGCAATTTTGCTCTGGTTATTTTGGAGTTGGGGGGTGGGTCTCACAAACTATTTGCCCAGGCTGACTTTGAACCTTGATCCTCCTGATCTCAGTCTCCCAAATAGCTGACCCATCAGCATCTGGCTATTACTATTACTTTTTGTTATTTTTTGCGGCGCTGTAGTTGGAACTCAGAGCCTTCCTTGGGCATGTTAGGCAGGGGTGTAGCACTGAGCTACAGCCCTAGCGTGACTGCTTTCCAAATGGCATTTTAAAAGCTAAAGGTGAAAAGTACCAGAGTACCAGGCACAGGAGGACCTCTGAGAAGCCAACTACGGCTCTGCTGACAAACCTGAGGACCAGTGATGAGGGTCCGAAAAGTGGCTCATTAACGGACAGAGATGGACTCAAACACCTTCTCCAAGAGAGGAGCCTTGAGACCAAGGGAGAATGCTGAAGGAACAAAGTGGTGAGAAGTTGCTGGATTTGTGACTCTACTACCTCAGGCTCAACCTTGGAGCATGCCATTTCAACAGATTTAAAACCAGAGCTCAGTGCTGCTCAGTCTCCCAGTGTCTCCTGAGGTGGACTAAGAGCTGAAGAGGAGTTCCACTCAGAGCAGATAGCCGAAGCCCGCCGTGGGGAGGCTTGCTGTGACCCTCACCTTGCAGGAGGAAGTAATCCGAGGTGGTGCGCTTCAGGGTGGCCTTGGCTTTCTCGCCGCTCCAGTCCACGTCCAGTGCCTCCTTGAGGGGGCAGAAAACCACCTTCTGTTGAAACAAGGCACAAGTGCTTAGGAATCAACAGGTGTGCTTTCATTCACAATGAACTTCATTACTTAAGAGTCTACAGATCACTAAAAGAAGCCACTGACATCTAAGAAAGCTTGTTAAGCTCCTGTATGTCCTCCATGGGGCCCTGGCGACATGGTGATGGACATGTACCCCCTACATGAAGACAGGGCTACTCCCAAAGGCTCTTTTAACTACAGCTGCATTTACACTGCATCTCTGGAGAACAAGAATGTACACCTCAGGTTAGGCAGAGTGACTCAAGTGGTAGAGTGCCTGCCTAGCAAGGAGGAAGTCCTGAGTTCAAACCCTACTACCACCAGAAGAAAAGAATGTACATCTAAACAAATTCAATAAAACAGTCACAGTGGCCAACAGCTATAATCCCAGCTACTCAGGAGATGGAGATCAGGAGGACCAAGGTTTGAGGCCAGCCTGGGCAAAAAGTTAGTGAGGTCCCATCTTAGCAAACAAGAAGGATGTGGCAATCCAGGGCTGAAATTCCAGCCACAAAGGAGGCACAGGTACGAGGATCCAAGTTCGAGGCCAGCCACTGTTCGAAAGAAGCATGAGATCCCATCTGAAAATATACTGAAGCAAAACAGGATGGCGGTGTGGCTCAAATAGTAGAGTGTCTGCCTAGCAAGTGAGGCCAGAGGCCTTGTATTCAAACCCAGTATCATAAAAACAAAACAAAGAGGAAGACAACAGACAAAAACCCAAAAAACCAAACAAACAAAATAGTAAATAGAAGCCTTCGTATTATTAAACAAAACAACCAAATTTGAATGTCTCTCAGTAGAAGAATGGTTTGGCGACTCTAACATTATTAAGAAAAAGAAAGGTGAGGAAGGGTGCAGTGACTCACTTCTGTAATCCCAGCTACTTGGGCAGCTGAGAACCAGGAGGACTGAGGTTTGAGGGCAGTCTGAACATACAGTTCGTGAGAACTCCATCTCTAAAATAACCAGAGCAACATGGACTGAGGTGTAGCTCAAAGGGTAGAGCGCCTGCTTTGCAAGTGCAAAGCCCTGAGTTCAAAACCCAGTCTCACAAGGAAAGAAAAAGAATGAAGGGGCTGGGCCAAAAGCTCAGGCTCTGGAGAAGGAAATAGTGCCTGCAAAATCCCTGAGCTAAGAGGAGGCAGCACGAACCCACATCGAACTGTCTTTCTTGTTTGGCTGGAGGTGGGAACCAGGACGCTGCGCGTCTACCACTGAGCTCACTGCCAGCTCTCAATCGAATCACTGTGAAAACTGCAAAACACATTTTGTTTAAAAAAATTTGCACAGTAAGTGGGTATTACTCATTCCCCTTTAAAATTAGCAGGTAGCAGTTATGAAAAACATGGTTTTTCTTTCCTTTTTCTGAATAATTCAGACCAAAAGACATTAAAACCCCTTCCCCCCCCACTCCTGGAAAAAACCAAAATGGCATTTTCTGGAAATGGCAAAGGAGGCAAGTGTGCTTGGAGGGATCAGGGCAAAGTGGTGTGCGAGCTCCCAGGCAGCAGCAGAGGCTGATCCTGTGCACAGCCAACAACTCAGCAAGTGAGCGCGGCGAAGCTGGAGTAAGTCAGGCCTGGCCAGCAGAGAAGAGGATTTGCCATGTGGAAGGCGAGGCAAGAGTGGAGGCTGTGGTGGGAGATGAGAGGGCCTCGTGTGTGATGCACAGGGACAGATGAAGAACAGATGCAGAGAAGCTGCCTCCCAAAGGACAAAGTGGTTCTAGAAAAGGTGGCAAAGGGGGTACAGCATTGGGGAGTGACAGTGCTGACAAGAAGGCCTAGGGTCCCAGAGGTGGTGGCACTGCAGTAAAGGGAGGAACATTCTGCGTGAAAACCAAGGAAGCCACAGAAAAGTGGCAGTCAGAAAGAGATCCAATGAAGAAGACATACAATGCAGCAAAGACAAAGCCAGGCAAGGGGACGAGTTGGGACGGGAGACAGGAGGGTCCATGGCAGAAGCAGCATTTGCCTTTCCTGTTAAGAGGGATGGGTAAGCCTCATTTGCAGACCCGTCCATCAGTCAAAACAGAATCTGGATATTGTGTTATTGTGACTGAAGAACGCCAAGAAAATCCTATTACTGAAAAAAGAGAGAAAACCAGTTGCGAATGTGTGTAAATCCTAACCAGCTGTGCCTGCAAAACGGCCTCAAAGCCATGATGCCCTGCATCTTGTCTTATCTTGTCTCCTAGTCACCACTCCATTCCCCACCTTCAGGGATGACTTCCTAGAGCAATGGCTGTTTTCAAAGCAGGGGAGGCAGTACAAGAGGGACCTAAGTACCTCACCGTGCCAGCATGACGAAGTGCTCAAAGAAGGAAGGGACATGTCCAGAAGACACAAGAGCCAGCCTAAAGGAGCTCTGCTCCCACTGGCCCAACATGGGACAATCTCAGGACAAAAGTAAATGACAGTGACAAATACGACACTTCAAATCCATTAGTCCACACACCTGGAAGTAAATGACTACAAGTTTAATGAGCAATGAGATAGTAACATTGTTTTCAAATACCTCTCCACAAAATGCATATTAATCACACACAGCAAAGAGGAAGCTCAACGGAGAGGTGCTCAAGCCACGGGTTAACACTCTTGGTGAACACACCCAGACCCCAGGAAGCCACTCGAAGCATCTGATCCACAGCACCCTTGCCAGAGGCGTGGAACTGGAGTCTAATCCTGACACATTAGATGAGCTCAAACACGCCTTGCGATGTTCCGGGGCCATGAAAATCAGGACTTGCTGGTCCTGTCCTGGCTCCTTGTGCCATATGGACACTCCTAACACCCAGGTCAGCCTGAGGACCAGCGGCAAAGAGCCGCAGATGTGGATTACAGGATGGGGGGGCAGTGGTCAAGGTGTCGTGGAGAACACCTTGCTTGAGAACATATGGAATGAAATGCTCAGAGGTGACTGGCTGGGGATCAGGTTGGCACCTCATCCCCAAGTGAGTTAAGCAGCTATGAGTTACTGTTGCTAAGTTTAAAATGGCACATCCGTCCTAGGTATATAATTTCAAACTTATTGAGGTAGGCATCTTTCTGCCTCTCTTCCCCCTCCAACCCAGATATGGGAAAAAGAGAGAAAATGACAGGTGTAACTCAGGAAGGAGCAGAGCCTGGGTCTGCCAGTTACCCAGCAGCTTATAAAGCATTCGAAGGACCAAGAAAATTTGGCAGGCGGAGCTCAAAGTGCCAGGGAAGATGCAGCACTCACGGTGTTTGGTGGCCCTCTACCTCCTCATGATTACTTCCTTGGGGTCGGGGCATCATCACAGCTACTGTACAAGAAGCCCAGCCCACTGACACGGAATGGCAAAACAAAAGCCAGGCCTGGCTGTGTTAGGAAGCTCCAGGGCAGGCAGGGGAGGGAGCTGAGCACAGTCCCTAGGAAGCGAGCATAAGTGAAGACACAGGGACCATGGCTACATATGTAGTTACAAGTCACACCAGCAAGCTGTTAGATAAAGTATCCTTGCCTTGACAAATACACCTTCTTTAAAACTGCCTTGGGTCAAGTTCTAATCTGGAATTTTCACACTCCTTGAGGATTCTTTTTCACAACAGTCCAAATCCCATCCCCCTTCTCCTCTCAGCTTTGCTTCTGTCCCGCAAAGCAAGAAGTTTTACACTTGAGTGTATCTACCCAGTTCATCCTTTTTCCTGCCAAAACACCCCCTCCTCAGACCTAGGCATTTGGGCACTGAGCCAAAGTGTGCACTTGGGAGGCAGAAAAGGGAAGGAAGTCCACAAAAAAAAAGCAAAACAAAACAAAAGGCCTGGGCTTAAGCTTGGGGTTGTGTGGGCGCAAATTCTGTGCTCCCTGGTACCCAGGGCATGTCTAGAACTCTGTGGTGGAGGGGGATGGGCTTTGGGCAGCAGTGTGTGCTCATTAGCATGTGGGTGAGATCCCCGCTTACCACAATGAACCCAATCTTGACCATGTTAGTAGAATGGATGCAAAAACCACCACTTACCTTGCCCACCTCACTGGCAACGCGTTTACAAAGAGAAGACACACTCAACAGTGCATTCAGGGAACAAGGAGACAATTAGATGAGGCACCCCCGACCTGCCACCTGCCTGAAACCTTCATGCCCTTGGCTCTCGGATCCCTCTGTCACCCCTTTCCTTTCTGACAATCCCATGCTGAGACACTGACTCTCACGTGCACTCAAGATTAATAATAAAGGGCTGGTGAAGCGGCTCAAGTGGTAGCGTGCCTGCCTCGCAAACGTGAGGCCCGGGGTTCAAACCCCACTATCATTAAAAACAAAGAAAATCACATTACTAACAAGTCCTCTCAAGTGAGTATCGCTTTCCTGAGGTGGGGACCACGTGAGAGGCAGAGCACTGCCTAGGCTGAGCTGCAAAATTTAGCTGGCAGAGGCTCAAGTGGCAGAGCACCTGCCTAGTGCAAGGATCTGAGTTCAAGCCCCAGTACCACAAAAGAAAGAAAAAAAAAAAAGAAGAAAACCAGAATCTAACATGCTTTATGTCTACCAAGAAGTCACAACTTCTAGAGTAGTGGAAGCTGAGTGTCTTCAATGTGACAGACTGGTTCAACAGATTACAACACAGCAAAAAGAGGAACACTGGAGTCACTTAAACCTGTGCTCCCCAAAGCACATGGAAAGATCTGAAGAACACTTATGAAAAGCCTGGATGAAAGAGCAAAACACAAAACCACGTTCTTATTGAAGGACTGAAGGACTGACTGCAGGAGGTCCCAAATGATGGTAAGTGGTCAAGGAGACACTTCTCCTCCCTAGGAAACCCCTTGCCCTGTTTGCATCTGAAAGGCATCTCCATTCTCAGGCAATGCAAAAATAGGCTATAAAACCCCACTCCCCACCCTGGCCCATAGAATCACTGGTTTCCGGGTTCCCCTGCATTCCCCAATATGCAGTCTTTCTCTTGTTTTTTCTCCAACTAAATTCTCTACAAATAAAATCTTCCCGACCTCTGCTGT